ACAGGTCTCCATATTGCTTAGCATGGCCATCACAAACACTTTTCAGTTCCATGACACCAGAACGAAGCTTGTAATTGTGTTCCACTGTTCGGGACCTAACACCTCTGCGACCAGTAATTTGATCTATTGTAGTATTTCCCGTGTCCTTAGTTTAGTGCATGTCGCATTACTCCATCACTATTGAGAAATGATGAAGTATTCGATTTTTTTACAGTTGTCATTCTCGCATTTATCTCAAGGATCCGACTCTAATTGAAAGGTCCCGCTATGTATACCCTTCGGAGTGTTGAAACACCCTCCAAAGCCACGCCACTTTGCCAGTCAAAATTTGATTCCTTAGCAACAAAATTAAGGAATGACACCGATAATGACCATGCATCAGAACCCTAGTTTTTTTTTTTTTTTTTCTTCTTTCTTTATTTAGGAGATTTTCAGCCGTAGGCTGGTTCATCTCCGTCAGAACCCTAGTCTTAAACACTTCAAATTAGGGAACAACGAATAGAAGATTAGGAATCACATAGATGAAGACTAACTAACTATTTTTTTCTTTGTTTCAAGATCATCCTCGTTGGACAAAGCCAAGTCTTGTCACTATCAACTAGGCATAAAAAGTAACAAGGACTAAAATGTGTTCCTTTGATTACTGAAAAATCCTGTTCCCCTAGTTTGAAGTAGTCAGGACTAGGAATCGGTGGTAGATCTTACATCCCTTAACGTACCACGAAAAGGTGATCTACCCACGTTACGGGGGGTAATTGTGTTTCTTGTGTGCTTTAAAGTGTCGGAATGTGTTTATTAGTGTTTCTGCATGTCGACCTAGCTGTTAAAATGTTTATTTAAAATTAATGCTTACTGGCTAGCATTACATCCACTTTTGTTTATAATCAGAATTCTTTTTTTTTGTTCTCCAAAAATTTACCCATTTGATCATGCACAGCGAAAGCACGGAATTCCAGAAATAATGCACACGTCTATGTAAACAACTTACAGTAATTCAAATTCGCATCCCTGATCGTCATCCGCAACACATATCTAAAAGAATGTGCTGTGTATGTATGTCTGGAGTTCCACTCCGATCTCAAAAAGTACTCTCTCAGCCGTCGCATTCTCATGTCATGATGCTTGACATCCTGGCTCAAATCAATAAGTCCTCTCAAATCCATCCCAACCGAATTCCAGTCGCAATCAAGCCCAGATAACCAAACCGAGCACGCCCCTTTCTAAGCAATCTCTCGATCTAAATTTCGCAACAAAAAAAACGAACCTATTTGTAAGCGGCAGCTAGCAGGATGGATCTCTCTGATTTAGTATTGTGTATATGAAATCCACGATGAAAGGGCATCAAACACATTAGAAAGAAATATCTGTCTTCAGCTATCGATCAATAATTGATATGATAATTATTATCTGCTTTATTCATTAACAGTTACAGATATTCTAGGTTGTTAGAGGTTGAAATTGTCTGTTTTTTTCAATGTTGAGCTTGAAGTTGAATCTTCTTTCCTAATTGCGGGGGTGAGGGCTGCTTCGGTGTCCCGATCAGTTTTTTTGTGGAATCCTACCGATTTCTGGAAGACTCTCCTTCAGAAAAAAAAAATCAACAAAAACAAAAAAGGACATCAAATGAATGGTAGTTCTGCCAGAAAAGATTGAAAAATTGGTTCTCATGGTGGTTGAAGGATGTTTGAGTGTGTCGAAGAGTGTTTTTGATGTGCTTAACACAAGGTGGCAAAGTGGCTGGTCCCCTTAATAGAACACACCATTTTCCACTCGGTATCTGCAAACTTCTAATGAACTAGACAGATGTGCCAGAGATGCTTAAAACATAGACGTCTAATAAATGAAAAAAAAAATCTAAAAATTTCATATTTTATACGTTAATAGATGACATCTTCAAAGACATCTATTTGATCTCGAAATTCTGGATCGTATGCAAAACATGAGCAAATTACAGTTTTGTCTTATATTTCATATTTTTGTCTTGTTTTATGGCTGACCATAAATCGACAGTGAGCATGCATAAGGGCCTATACGCGATGATAGATTCTTTTCGTCGATTTTCTCTTTTGTTAATAACTCGCTAGATTTAACGTTTCTCGGTGCGTTTGCTGTTAATTTTTATAGCCAATACAACCTGTTACTACTCTGTATTGAACAAATTCTAGAAAATTGTTTCGCTTAGCTGTAGCAATGCAAAGAGAAAATCGATGAAGAGAATCGATCATCGCGTATTCGCCCTTATGCATGCTCACTGTCGAAATAGTTATTTTGGCGTTCTTGTACCAAAAATATAGATTGAGGTCCGTTGTGCACTTACCTTCTGAAAACTTTTAAAATAATAGGTTTGGATATTAATTCCAATGCTTTAGAAAATGCATAAGAAAAATAAAAAAAAAAACACCTTTCTTTCATTTGTTTTCCCAAAATGTTACATTGCGTTGAACTTTGTTTTAGATAGTCTAAAATGTAAAAATGCTGTGGGTGTCGATGGTGCAATCAAACCAAATATTTAGATGCATCAACTTAAAAAAATCACGTTTAAAGTTTTTAGACGCATAATAATATTTAAATTTGGCAACTCTGTTCTTGGTAATTTAATCGATTTTTTTTTTCTTTAAATATTATTTCACACAATAAGTCATGAGAATTAATCCACTTATTAAGAGAAAATGGAAAAAAAATTAAAAAAAAAAGTGTTACCCATAATTTATGACTTTTGTTCATTCAAAATGCAATATCTCAGGAACTACGCAAATTACTTTTTGTCGTTAGGTGTATCTTATGTAAAAAAGGATAAAGAACACGATGGTGTCCTTAAAATGAAAATTAAACGACACGTATTATGAGAAAACTGCATTTAAAGTTTTCAAACAATTATTTGGCAACACTGTACAGAAACAAAAATTACATATTAAGATTTCTTGTCTAATTTCCTTATTAAAACAATACCTAATGCAATTTGTAGCTTTATTTGTTCCGGAGATATGAACAAAAGAAAGTAGTGCTTTCCAAAGAATCACGAAAAATGGAAAATGCGCCCCTTGACCGAGGGGTGCTCCGATTAGCATAAAACTTTGGATTTTTAAAATTCGAACTTAAATGAACATTCCCTACAAATTTGGTCCAAATCGGAAGGGGTCAATTTCATGTGCTGTGTACACTTCGCGCGGAATGACCCATATATATCATAACAATTAAGGCTGGTAAGTTACTGTAGTAACTGGAGCACCTAGGTTAAAAATAAAATGTAATTTATTTTGAATTTGGAACAAATAAAGAGTTAAAAAAAACGCTTACCACTACACCACCGGCTAAAATCTAAGGGCTGATCCATGAAACATTAGAAATTTTATTTTTGTGGGCCAGTCTATTCATGTAATATATGAGTAATATATTCACATTTTCTTGGAATTAGTATTTAAATTCTGGTGGAAATAATATCAGGAATTCTTTGGAGCTCTTGTCAGAATTATCCTAGAATTGTGGTCAGAAATCCCTAGAAACAGTTATTTGGATTGTCCTCAGAGTTCCATTTAAATGTTGGCCCCGTAACGTGGGTAGATCACCTTTTCGTGGTACTTTACGGGATATAAGATCTACCACCGATTTCTAGTCCTGATTACTTCAAACTAGGAAAACAGGATTTTTCAGTAATCAAAGGAACACATCTTAGCCCTTGTTACTTTTTACGCCTTGTTAATAGTAATAAGTCCTCGGGTTGCCTGGACCAAATTACTGGTCGCAGTGGTTTTATGTCCCGAATAGAGGAAAAAAACATTTGTATTAAGAAACATTGTAAAAAGTAAAATAAATTTCGGCTTCGTAAAGCTTACTAATTTGAGCCTTGATAAAAAAAAAATAATTGAAAAAATGGACATACAACTATAACCCACCATTCTATAGGGGAGAGTGGACACACTTGAATGATCAGCGAAAAAATCGAAACTTGATGTGGTTTTCACACAGGTTCACAGGGAAATGTCTTTTGTAAGTTTTTAAATGCACAAAAGGCTTTAAAATTATGTATAATTTCCAAAACTACGTTTGTCTCAAAACGCATTTTGTAAAATTTGGAGAGTAAACTCAGGGATTTTTCATAGGATTTTTTTAACTCTCTTGAGCCTCTGACATGATGTATACATCTCTGAATGTACGGTTTCTCAAAATTGTCAAAAAAAGCAATTTTAACAATTGATATGCATTTGAATATTTTTTTTTACACACAAATCGAATGTCGAAAATTCGAAAGTGTGTGAAAATTTTGAAGAATCAGGTGTCCATAAACAGTGTTTTATTTTTTTCACATTCATAAGTCAGGTTTTAGTGTGGGAGCATCAAATGTCCCTTAACTGAGTTTTCAACTTAATATCAAACTGTACAAAAAATTAAAATTTCAATAATCGATTCTAGTTATTCACAGCTTTGAGATGTGAAAATTGTGTATGTTTTTCGAGAAAACCCAAAAAGTTATTAGGAATTTTCATGCTGACTAAGAAAAGTCTAATGAGTGAAAGCATACGAACTGCTCTCAAAAACATATTCGTTCCACAATCTGACACAAATCTCACCATAACATTACCTTCCGTCTAGACGGAACTTTGTGGAAACTTATCTGAAAAAAAAACTTCTCAGCATATCGAGAAACCAAGGGGAGATCAAGTGTATCCAGTCTCCCCTACTGATTGTAGCGTCTATCTAAATACATACATTCCAAAAACACATCATCATGTAAAAGCACTCCGATACTCCTGTAAATATTCGCTTTTACCCTGGCTTTTTCAAACAAAACTTTCAATTCAGGCTCGCTCAGCTATGCATCAACCTCATCAGGCAGAGCACAAGAACACAGATTGAATCTATTTTATCCCAACCACCAGCAAATAGTGCTACTACTAGCCCAACAACAACAAACCCCGTATTCACTGCAGGTGGGTAGATTAGGCTGCAGGAATGTATTGCAAACACAATTTTCCAATCTCGTTGTCCCATTCAACACTTACCGATTGTTGAAATATACGTGTCGTAATATCTCTCATCGCAATATCGATGAACGATGCACGTTTTGCCAACATTGGAATCACCCAGCACCAGCACCTTGTACGTTGCCGCAAAATCCAGAGCCATCCTTTTTTTTTTTCCTCAGCTGTCTGTAGGCAGATCCTTCGTCGTCCGGTTCGTACTATATCTAGACGAAAGCTGTTCTGTTTTCCTAGACCCCCGCCTATAGGAGTATCCTTTTTTTACCTCCCTTAGAACAGCTCAACTCCAATAGAAAACTTCGCCCGGTTTTTATTTCAAACAATGTATGAATAATTTAATCACTACTCGCTACTATTATTGGCGTGATATCCGCTGCCAAACGTTGTGCTTTATCAGAGAATTTTGCAAAATCGATTGACTGTTTGGGCCAACCTCCCTTGGTTTGGCAATTCGCCCACTCCTCCGTCTACGAAGAGCAATGTTTTCACTTCTTTGTTTCCAGCGAACAGACTCGAAGAACGAAATTACTTTACACGGGAAGTGCCGATTGGGGACACAATTTTCCACTCATCAATAATGCACTCGCGAATTTAGTTTTTTTGTTTGTATTATCCGATACTCAATGATTACATTTTTGTTCCAACGAAGGCTGAAACTTAGGATCAAGATTCACAGACCGAGATCTTATGTTAACGGAAGGAAGTTTGGATTCGTTAGCGACCGGTACCGAATTTTAAAATTCCAATAAACTGGTTGGAACTCTGGACTTGAAGAGCTAGAGACTCGGGAGGACACTGTTTCGCTAACTCGGCGAATTCCGTTCCTTGGCAGCGCCGATGGCAACGGCAACCAGCAGGCAATGAAAAGTGACTGATGGCGATCGGGTATGATTCAACAAACAATTTTATGAAAAATCGATACAATCGGAGCGCATGCGTCGCATCTCATCTGTTTGGCGAAACGGTTCCCGCTTGCGTTTGCATTTCGTCCCGAACGACCGTGTCTGACGACGTTCGTCCTATCCTATAGCGGAGCGATAAGGAAATCGTTCCGGGATGGAAACCGAGAGGGCAGGCACCGCGTGCCACCACTAAAAGCGGGAAGATATCCTCCCGCCCTCAAGCTATGGACGGCGATGATGTGCATGTTGCGATTGTTCAGGATGAATCATCTCCGATGGTTGCTGCTGGAGTGCACTGTTGGTATGCTCAGTAGGGATGATCAAAAAACAATTTTTTTTTTTTTTTCTTAAATCCTTACTTCCATCTTATCATCTACGGCGTGAAATAACAAAATGTTTTTTTGAGAGTGGGCCAATGACTATGGAAATCTCAAGTAAGCGATGGACTTTATTGAAACGTCTTTCTTGAAACATATATAGCACCGCTATTTTTTCGTCTGCTTCCTAAACAATCGATCTGATTTTTATGTCATTAGCATCAACCTCAAACTAAACATGTACATAATATCAGCTCAGTTGGTTGAAAAATAGCCGGCAACGAAAGGTATAGGTTAAATCTCTTGGTTGGGTTGTTGAAAATAATGTTTAAGCCCAAAAATATAAGCCTTTGCAAAAATAGTAAAGATTCTCCTAACCTACACTCAAAAAATTCCACACGTCATCATCATGTGTCTCACACTTAATTATTGGTTCGAATTGTGACACACTTGGAGTCTATGTGCCTCACATGGTGATATCAGTAGCTTTACACATCATAGTTCAATGTTCTACAATATTCTGCTTTATCAACTTCTACTTGACCGACTCCAAAATTAAATCGACAAATATATATAAAAGCTTACAAGTGCTTTTTTTATGGCTCTGATTTGAAATTTGATCCTGGAGGGTGTACTGCTGCCATTTTCTTCGTTCGATCTCAATGGGCCACGATTGTTCTCATATATGAGGCTGGTTGATAAGGATGAAGTCACAACTCATGTTTTCGATGTTTACCTTACACAACAAGCAATTCACATAGCATTGAAATGCAAAACACTTCAAATTCATCTGTTTTGAATAGTAGTGGGATCATAGAGGCAACTCTAAGCCTAGAAGGTCCCGAAGAAACGTGCTCAACTTTTTGGCTCAGCTCTGGTACTCTCTTCGGTCCCAAGCTAATCTATGCATAGGAAAATCCACGAGCCCCGCATTTTATCTGTCAAAATTTTATAGCAAATCAAAACAAAGATAGTGTAGTACTATAATTTTGACTAGAATGGGCTACGTTTATCGATTTGCTTGGGACCAATAGGCTAGTCAAGCAGTGAGCCAATTTAAAATCGTTAGTTTCCACCGCTGGTGTGATTCAATGTGCTCCTTCTTCTTCTTCGCATCTCAAGCTTATTGCTTATCGCATACTAGCTTCTTGCGTGCTCTCAACTTAGTGTTCTAGACGCACTTCCACAGTTATTAATTGAGAGCTTTCGATGCCTATACCATTTTTGCATTAATATAAATGTGTGGCAAGTACAATCATACTCTATATGCCCAGGAAAGTCGATAAATTTTCCAACCCGAAAAATTCCTAGACCGGACTGGGAATCGAACCCATACACCTCCAGCATGGGTTTGCTTTGTAGCTGCGCCTTTACAGACAGAGCTAAGGGAGGCCCCGTGATTCAATGTGCAATGCACTTCAATTGATAGAGAAAGATTATCAACATTTCAAAGTTTGAATCACTAGAAATCAACGTGTAGAACACATTGAACCATGATGAAATACACTTAAAATAAATGTGATTGAATATATGAAAAATCAAGTGTTTGAACACTTCGATTAGACGTGTGGACTTTTTTTAGTGTACTCAGTACGGAAAACAAGATCGACGGAAAACAAATCAATGCAAAACAAGTAATCATGTAAATTAACAATTTTTGTGAATATTCCATTTTAACTAAAAGCACCATGCTACCTAATTTAAAATCATCAAAATTTCGGTTAAAATTATGTTGGCTAGAATTTGGATTTCGATTTCTGCCACACATTTAGAAAAATTGATGTAAGTTTAGGTGCTCTGAGACTGACATATACGAGCGTCAATTTTGACATAAAATTGAGTCATAATAGACGCAAAATTCAGCTCAATAAAACGTACTTTCGAACTTTTCAGTCTCGAAGCACTTAATTTTACATGACATGTTTGTTTACGTTTTATCCTTTATGTCGAAGATGGATTCCGTCACGTGTAAGATTAGGTATTTCTAAGTGTGCAGCTACAATAGCAGCATAGGTAGCTCCATTTACTTGCTGAACATTGTTAACATGACCGTTGTTAACAGTAGAGAAATTAGTACCTGTTCGGGAATGTAGAGCGTTTCCTACCTGTCGCTTAGAACGAGACTGTAGGATCACTTTGCGAGTCTTACATTGTTACCGTACCAAACTTTACCCTATGGAAAAAGCTCGAGCAGAGCAATAGCAGTGCTATAAAGAGCTAGCACTCAACCGAACGAGACAGCAATCCACTAGTATACTGCTGTTCGGTGCGCTCAAGTCTGAGAACCATGAAAGTTTGTAACCAGTAATGATTGAACTAATGTTTGTTTAGAATTAATGATACTATAATTCATATTGCTAAAACTAAATGGTAAATGAATAGAAAACCACTAATGGCTCATTCATATACATAAAACAGATAGGAATTAGGGAACTGAATAACATGAAGTCCAGTAAAGGCTGCCTAAAAGTAAATTGGTACGCACAAAAAGTCTAAATTGGTAAGTTGAAAAAGTTCATTAATGGTTGCTTCATAGCACTTTTATAAAAACTTCAAAGTTACAGCATTAGATGGTTACATTTCTCCAGTTCGAACGAAATCTCGAACCTTCCTCTCGATGGAGCCCATCAGCGCCCGCACAGTGGAAACGGACACGGAATCAGTGCATTTCTTCCATTTTTCTCGCATTTGCTGGAAGTCCTTCGTTGAAGTCGCTGCTTTAAAATTGCCCAGTATTTTTCGATTGGTCGAAATTCCGGGCAATTTGGAGGATTCATTAGCTTGGGGACAAAATCGACCTTATTGGCAGCATACCACTCCATAACCACCTTGGAGTAGTGGCAGCTGGCCAAATCGGGCCAAAAGATGACTTTACCCCTATGCTTGCGGATGAACGGCAATACACGCTTTTTCAGGCATTCTTCGATGTAAAGTTGGGATGTCATCGTCGAGGATGTGACGAATGTTTCCGTTTTCAGGTCACAACTTCGCGAACTTGTCAGCAAACACGAACTTGAATCTACCCGGCACATCCCCACGTCCCTCTAGTAACATTTTATGTTTTATGAAATACTACAATGCAACTATAAATCAACATTCATAAAACCCTGGTCAAGGCTATATTGTCCTTAATGCACCCACTAAAACCTCATTAAGACTAGAATATGTCTAGTTGGCCCACCCTGGAGAAGGTTCTGAAGGGTGTATTCTCAAAGCTCTTCAAGATTGATTAACTGCAAAAGGTTGTATGACGAACGCATTGAGAACCATTTGAAAGCTACAATAAAAGCTATTTAGCAACAATAAAAACTCTTTCCGAGCCATTTTCCCTAGCCGCATGCTGAATCCACTAGGAAAGCATCAATCAAGATAGAAAACGATTTATGAATTCGATCTTATCAAAATAATTAAAATAGAAACTAATGGTATAAAAATATTGTTGACTATACAAATTTATTACAATAGTTCTCATTAAGTGGCCTAGTTTTAAGTGCCATATTGAACTTTGAGTGAAATGTACGTGAAAACATCGAAAAAAAAATTAAGTCTACCCTCGTAAAACGTCGATTTGACTTATTATTTAACATTGAAAAATAAAATATATTCTTCAGATCGAGCTTGGCCGAGATTTTTTAAATTATTTTCGCATTTAAATGATTGTTCATTGCTAAATTTACCAAAATATAGTTATATCTAAGGAAATATAGATTGAAAACCGAAGATTGTAACACCCAACTAACAATTTTCACAATGTAAACGCTTTACTCATTTCATTTATACAGCCTCAAGCTGTATTCAAACGTTATACGGATATGAGGAAACCTTTACTCAACCTCTATACAAGCAAATCTGGCGAACTTAGTCAGCTACTTATGGCTGTTGAGACGGTTGGGACAAGCTCTTATTGCATATCCATTAACGCTTCTATACAGCTGTTATCCTGCTGTTTAGTTGTGTGTGAACTTGAAAGGCGCTTATTCAACCTTTTCCCGGTTATACAATAATCACTACACAGCTTTCTCTTGAAGCCAGGTTAAATACATTTTACGCTTTTTTATGGAGGAATTTATTGAGTTTATTTTGCTGTGAATCAAATTAATCGAAATTAGTTACAAATAATCACCTAATTATTATTTACCCTGCACCGGAACCTGGAATCGAACTCGAGACGACCTCATTGGCAAACCTTGACACTACCAACTTCGCTACGCCAACACTTTGAACTGATGTAAACAAATCAACATGCCCTTCTACAACAAAATCGCTGAGTAGAGGCTTTATAATAGTGCACATGAATCACTTTTCTCGACTAGTTACTTCAGCTTTGTAAAAGAGCAGAGTAAAAGCTGTAAAACTGCACAAGTCTAAAAATAAACCTAGTTGACTGTGAAAATGCTTCCGAAGTAGCTCTAACACAGTTTATTAGCTGAGTACAGGATGTTTAGTTGTTGAAAAAGCACTTTTGATGTTTATGTTATTCAGCAAGAGTGGTTGATTGTGTAGAAGCCATCAAATGAGTAATATATTCACTTTATTAGCTTTGTTTTGCAGTTACAAGTTGAAAGTTGATTAGTATGTGTATAAAAGAGACATTAGCGTTTTTTGGCTGTTGTTATTCAGTGCGACTGACAAATTGAATAATGGTTGTGAAAAAGTTGAGTAAACGCTCTCCAAAACTAT